CCTTAATCGCCATAATGTAGGGAACCGACACACCTTTTGCCTCCAGGCATCTCCAGAGAATTTAGGAGATGATTAAGATAATATAACAATAATATAAAAAGAATACCAAGGGGTGATCGTATGTCCTAAGCACACAAGAATTGGGTGCCGCAAATCCTTGAATTTCAAGTCTTAAAATTCAGTCTTCAACTATCTTTCTAGCTAATTAATTTTTAATCAGCTCTTCTAAGCTAAATATTGCTCACATCAAGATTCAAGAGTGTGTAAAGCAGTTCTACGTGAAAAGAGAGTCATTCGAAACATACTCATCAAAGTTTTTTATGACTTGATACGAATATTTCAAACCTTCACAGAGTCTTCAACTATAAGTACTGTACATTAAACTGATACTACTAATCCCCTCCCCGCCACACACACACACACACACCCCAAAAAAAAACCCAAAACACACACAAAATAAAAAACTCATTTCCCTCTACAGTATCAGGTTTTCACAATATTAATTGCCATTAGTGAATCACCTTTCCCTCAACATGCATGCCCAACAGATGCAACTTCGCCCACATCCCAAAGCCCAACCTTTTCCTCAGTTTCACGGCAAGAAGTGCACTCATGTCATCAGCAGTACGAAAATTCATTCCCAACTCCAGGACCTGCACATGTTATATATAAATCTAAGCCACAGCAAATAGAGCACAAATGTGCAGAAGCCAACTGCTGACATAAGTCAAACATTCTTGAGTCAGGATTACATACCAAGTGATCATCTCCAGTAGATTCACGAAGAACCCTCATTTCTGTGAACATAGGTGGATTTCTTCCCAAGTAGAGGTGCTGAATTGCAGCTTCTTTCTGTATGCATTAGCGGAAAGAAAAAAAACTCCTGATAACTCAGCTCAACAAACAACTTAATTACTTAGAGTAAAAGTTACAAATTTGCTGGTTATGGCATAAGATGAACAACTATATTGTCAAAGAAAAGTAGAACTGTTTGAATTCAAGAAAGACACTTAATACAGGAAAAATGTAGAAAACAGAGGCACTACATGACATATGATGCATCGAATCAAGAATGTAAGAAAGTAGTTTAGCAGAAAGTACACATAGTTTGAACACTTACAGCAGTCCAGGGTTTGTACTTTTGCATAAACCATGGAATGATAGGGAGGAGAATTTTCTGTGAAACAATCTCCTCCATACAGATAGGCCATATCTTCTCAATCGCATAGTTTAACCATCGCACTGATTCAGAGTCTGAAAGGACCTGGTAAAAGCCCAAAAAAATGCTTTAGACGAAAGAAGTCTGTAACTCGAAACCACATCAAGATTCAGCAGGGAAGATGCTGCTTACTCTAGGTCTTAAAAGATTCTCTGAATAATGAAAGATTACAATCACAATTTTTGTGTTAAAGGAACACAGAAAAAAAAAGACACATTAAAAGATTGAACTACTTATTAACTGGAAGAATCAGAATAAATCCAGGCATATGTCACTTTAGAAACTGTTACTAGTAAATCTTAGAAGTTCCCAAATCTATCAGAATATTCTTGTGCTTTTCAAACTTCAATTAACTAGTTTTGTCTGGTAAATCCAACAACAAAAAAGTAATAAAGTTTCCAAATTTATTAAATAGAGTATCTTCAACAGACCCAAAAAAAGGGAAACAAGACTATTAAGAAAAGAGGGAATCAAATTGGAAAAAGCTTACTCGGCGCTGAGAAGACTGTCTTTTTTCCTCGAACTGTAGTTTCCTCCGTAATTTAGTCACATACTGCTCATGAACCTTCAAAATTTAAGAGCATAATCTTGATAAATCCCACATCAAAATACTGAAAATTGAAGCAAAAAGAATGATATAAGACCATCTAAACTTGACAGTCGACGAAGAAACTGTACATGAAGTGATAAAAATACAATCTTTTAGCAACTTACCATGTAGAGATAGATAAGGGAGAGGAAGTAAGCAAAAGGGTGACAACAATCGAAGGAATTAAGCAACCATAGTAGCAGCAACACAATGCCCACATGATGAATTATTGTAGCATCCGTTATACTTGTCATTTTTCAATCCCCACCAAAACTCCTTTCTTCTTTATGTACAGAGTTGTTTGTCCAAAAATGACAGAGACCCGCTAACATAAACGCCTGACCCAACTCTTCAAAATATGTAACCCACAATTCTGATCAAAACAACTGCAGTAATTACCGACCATCAAAGTCCATTCTCCTTCAATCTCATTAATTGCCTAAAAAGTAACCTAGCCATTTATTACATTTGCACATAAGTATACGTACTGAAACTGATGTGAGAACAACTTGGGGGTGTTCAAACCGGGCAGATGATTCGGGTTTAATATTTGAAAATGGGTTTAGAAGGGGGGAATTGAGCTTCACGACGACGAAGCGGAGACGCGGTGGTCAAGCAAATCGGCGGAAGTTTATCAAAAGAGAGTGAAGATTTTCGAATGAAAAGAGACTCCATGTGGAGAGTAGCGTCCGTGTTTTTGGTGTTTTTTCCGTTTTCATGCTTTGACTGGCAGAATTTTCCCAATTATATTTGTGGGCTCCATCTTCAAATGGATAGCCTATAAGATTAATTTTCCAATTATCGATTACTTAACCAACTCTGTTAAAAATTTAGCCACCTGAACGTATCTACAAGATGCTTTACGTCGTTTGGTTCATGAACTAATCATGAAAAATTGTTTATCCTTATTCATCATTTATATTAATTGAATTGTTTTTATCCTAAGAGCTATATATTAAATAAAAATATGTTAAGAATGTGATAAAAAAAGTTATATTCATTTGTTTGATAAACTAGTATTAATTTATTAAGTATTAATTAAGTGATAAACTAATTTGATAGTAAATCTTTTTAGTGCGCGGCGAACTGAATAACCAGGAATAAAAACTTTAAGAGTGTAACAACTTTTTTCAAGATACACCAGGCTACAGGATAGAATATTTTTCACGTCTCGGCAATATCCAGTAACCGGTATATTCAATTAACTTTAATCGTGCTCTATCCTTTAAAATGTGTGACAAAAGCACATTTGCACATGAAGGTATTCCACTAATATATCATTGCTACGCCGACAACGCTCTTGGTTCCAGCAACGTGGCACGTTCTACTCTAAACTCACTTTACTTCTTTTTCCCATTCGAAAAAAACTGAGTGACCGTGTCAAATTTACTGGAGATCAGCTACGAGAAGAGGCCATTGTAGGCAATGCAACAGTAGAATATTCTAGAGAGAATTTGCGTGTAATGTTTCTGTTATACGGAGAGGGAAGAAGACCTTCCTTTTATACAGAGTAGTTAGTACTTCTTAGCTGGGCACCTGCTAGTCGCGTGTCCTTGCACTGTATTTTAATTCCACTTGTAACTGACTAACTAACTCTAGTTGTAATACATTTCCAATACCCCTCCTCAAGTTGGAGGATGAAATACATTGAATACTCCAAGCTTGGACAATAAGTACTAATGTTGCATGGTTCCTAAGCCTTTTGTCAGTATGTCTGCCAGCTGATCTTTGGTGCTCACATGTTGAGCTTGTATCAGCCCTTCTTTAATTTTCTCTCTAATGAAGTGGCAATCTATCTCGATATGCTTGGTTCTTTCATGGTAGATTGGGTTAGAGGCAATCTGAATTGCTGCTTTGTTGTCACAAAAGAGTTGTACAGGTCTGGAAACTGGCATACCTAACTCTACTAGTAATCCTTCTAGCCAAATTACTTCTGAGATTGCTGGTCTCATGCTTTTGTATTCAACTTTTGCTGAGCTTTTGTTTACTGTCTGATGCTTCTTTGATTTTCAAGAAATCAAGTATTCTCCCAACTTTACCACGTACCCTGTCACTGACCTTCTAGTGTTTGGGCATGCTGCCCAGTCGGAATCACAAAACACTGTCAACTGGGCTTGAGGGTCTTTCTTCAGCAGCAGTCCTTGTCCTGGTGTATTTTTATGTACTTCACTAGCCTCAATGTTGCATTCCAGTATGAAGTCTTTGGCCTTTGCATAAACTGACTTAGTACTTGCACCTCAAAACTGATGTAAGGCCTGGTGATGGTGAAATATAGTAATCTCCCAATCAGCTTTTGATAGGTTGTTATGTCCTCAAGTACACAGTCATTGACACCCCCAACACATTCATCATAATCTATTGTTGTGAGCTTCAAATTGACTTCCAATGGTGTGGTTACAGGCCTAGCATCACTGAGTCCTAGATCAGATATTAGCCCAAGTGCATACTTCCCCTGATTGAGTAGTATGCCATCTTTGGATATCATTACTTTGATTCCTAGAAAATATCTCAACTCTCCTAGATCTTTTACCTTGAAATTGTTATGCAAAGTGGTTTTTGCTTCCTGTATCTATTCCTTGCAGCTTCCGGTGATTAAAGGGTCAGCCACATACACCAAGATGTTGCTTGTTTGGTGAATAAGGAATAATCATAGGAACTTTATTTTTAGCCAGCTGCTAAGAGTGTATCAGTAAGTTTTATGTTCCATTGTCTCGAAGCTTGTTTTAAGGCATACAATGATTTGATCATTTTACACACTTTATACTCCCCCTGTTGTTGAAAACCTTGAGGAACTTCCATGTAATTTTTTTCAAATAAATCTCCTTGCAAGAATGCATTATTGACATCTATTTGGTGCAATCCCCAGTTCTTACAGGCTGCTGCTACAGTGATGATAGTCCCCACAGTGATCATTTTAGCCACTGGTGAGAATGTTTCATGGTAATCTAGACCCTCCTTTTGTTTGTATCCCTTGGCAACAAGTCTTGCTTTGTATTTGTCTATATCCTCATTTGGCTTATGCTTTATCATGTATACCCATTTGGATCCAATGACTTGTTTACCTTTTGGTAGATCTACCAGCTCCCAGGTATGGTTGTGTTCTAAAGCTGCTATCTCTTTTTTCATTACTGTTATCCAGTTGTGGTCTTGAGATGACTCAGTGAAATTCTTCGGTTTAATTTGGGCTGAAAATAATCCTAAATAGTGCTGATAATCTGTTGACAATCTGTTGTAGTCCACATAGTGAGATACTGTATATGAACACTGCCCAGAGGGTCTACTTGTAGTTACATAATCCTTTATCCAAATTGGAGGTCTGCTCACTCTCTTCCCCCTATCATTGTCTGTTGGTTGATCTACCATACTTGGTTCCTAAATTGGTGTAGTTTCCTCTTCAGTTTCAGCTTGAACCTCCAGTGTGTCATTACTAGTTTCAACAACTTCTGTAAGATTTATGGGAGCTATAGGTTCAGGTTATGCATTACCAGGGTTAGAATTGTGTGCTTCTGTTGGGAGATTTGTGGCATCTAGCAATTCAGGTTGCAAGACTTTCCTTGTGGCTTCTGTTATGGGAACAAACAGCAGATCATCATCATTTGCTTTCCTAGTTTTGAAAGGGAAAATGGTTTCCCTGAAGCTGACATCTCTACTCATAAAAAATGTCCTTGTGTTAAGGTCAAACAATTTGTAGCCCTTCTGAGTATCAGAATATCCTAGCATCATTGCTCTCCTTGCTCTTGTAGCTAATTTGTCACTCCTAGGTAAATTACTAGCAGAGCTCAAACAACCAAACACCCTCAGATGGTCCAGTTTAGGTACTTCCCCATATAGCAGCGCATAAGGTGTCTTCCCATTTAGAACTGCAGTAAGCAATTTATTGATGAGATACACTACAGTCTTGACACACTGATGTTTGGCCAAAAATATATATATTTACCCATTGTTGCCTCACATTCTAGTACTTTTAATCATCTCTTGAGTGTTAATTATATCACTTAATTCTTAATGATATATTTTAACTGTGTAGGAAAAGCGGTATGAAGATTAAGAGATTTGGAGCAAAATTAAATAAAATACGAAAGAAAAAAAAAAAGAAAATAAAAGAATAAAAAAAGGGGACACCCTTTGGTGTTTGTCCCCCCTGGTGGAAGACAAGAACGAGATACACAATGCAAATAAACAAAAACGTAACTGACTTTAAGATATTGGAGGCGGAAAACTCATTGCTTTCTGCGCCAGCGCCAGCGTGAGGCACTAGCCTGGACCCTACGTGACGGGATTTTTCCTACTTGGTTCGGGACAAGGTTATTTCGGCCCAAGACCCACCCAACTTGTATAAAAGTAAGTCTAAACCTAATTTGGAGGGGATCTAACATACTTTGGAGGGGAATTCACGTGGGGGAACACACACCACACTTGGAGGAGGCCTCTAACTAGTTTTTCTTCTCTTCTCTTCTTTTAATCTCATAGTTCATTAGTTCTAGAGTTTTGGGTGCTACATGAACGTTGTAGTTTGAAACTTGAATTGTTATTATTATTTTATTATATTAGTTTATTTATTCAATCTTGTGCTTAATTATATGATTTCTTGATCACCAACTGAATATTAGCTACGAATCTAGGATTGAACTCAGGAGAGGGAAATTTAGATTGAAAATAAGATTGAATAGGGCAAGATCTTGAACTCGAGCATCGAGAACAGATTTGCGGTTAGGATAGGGATATACCTATTCGTGTTGCTTGGTTATTATACGGGAATTATTAATGTGTTCTTGTTAATCCTAATTCCATACGAATATAGGCGTTAGGTTAACTTGAATAGGCGAGTAGTGCTTCGGGAGAAAGCTACGTATAATATTAACCCTGTCAACCAATAAACCAGATAAATTAATTAGACAATTTAAGTGGAAAACGCAACGGGATTGTTAGCTAACCCATAACTCTGGAATATTTTCTACCATTGAATTCGTCTTTATTATTGCCAACTTATTTCCTTTAATCTCTTTATTTGCTATTCTAGATTAGTTGTAGTTAAATAATCACACTTTAGAAAATCGCTTGAGTAGATTAAGTGTCTTAGTTTAATGTTGTAACGACCCGGACGGCCGTTTTGAGTTTTACCACCCCGTTTTTTCCCATTTACTGCTCAATTTGTGCATTACAGTTATTGTGTGACTTGCTTGGGTAATTGGTTCAGGTCCGGTGAGGTTTTGGAATGAATTGGAACACTTAGTTCCAAGGTTTAAAGCTTAAGTTAAAATAGTGATCGGATATCGACTTATGTGTAAACGACCCCGGAATGGAGTTTTGATGATTCCAATAGCTCTGTATGGTGATTTTGGACTTAGAAGCGTGTCCAGAAAATTATTTGGAGGTCCGTAGTGGAATTTGGTTTGTATTGCCGAAACTTGAATTTTTGGGAAGTTTGATTGAGGGTTTGACTTTTTGATATCGGGGTCGGAATCCGATTCTGAAATTTGAATAGGTCTATAATGTGATATGTGTCTTGTGTGCAAAAGGTCAATCGGACGTGATTTGATAGGTTTCAGCATCATTTGTAGAATTTGGAAATTTGGAAATTTATTAGGCATGAATCCGTGTGTAGTTCGTATTTTTAAGGTTGTTAGGTATGATTTGAGGCCTCGAGTAGGTCCGTGTTATGTTATGGGACTTGTTGATA